CTCAACCACTCTGACAGTTAGGAAGTTTCTCCTGATATTCTCCTGATATTTAGCCGGTATCGATTCCCTTGTAATTTCCACCCATTAGATCTAGTCTTGCAATCCGGAGCAAGAGAGAATAGATCTGCTCCATCTTCTACATGACAGCCCTTCAGATACTTGAAGACTGCAATCCTGTTCCCTCTAAGCCTTCTCTTTCCCGGGCTAAACATGCCCAACTCTTTCAGCCTGTCCTCGTAAGACTTGGATTCCAACCCTCTCACCCTCTTCTGGACACGCTCGAGCTTGTCAACATCCTTCCTAAAATGTGGTGCCCAAAACTGGACACAGGACTCCAGGTCAGGCCTGACCATAGCAGAATAGAGCGGAACGACCACCTCCCGTGATCTGGACACAATGCTCCTGTTAATGCATCCTAAGACTGCATTAGCTTTCTTTGCAGTCACATCGCACTGCAGGCTCATGTTTTACTGATTACCCAAATAGTTGCTTCGGCCTTCTTCATGATATACCCATAACGATAAGGTGCCCTACAAAATGGTGGAAAGGCCATTTATGTATTTATTTTGTCTCAAAGGCAGAAGGCGTCCCCTGGGCCATGTAGCCCAACCCCCTGCCAATGCAGGAACGACAGCTACAGCATCCATGACAAGCAAGTATCCGATGAGGAGGAATCCACCACTTAACAAGGGAATATGCTACGGTGTCATGTGACTCTCAGCACGAGGGGAGCTTCTGTCACTTCCTGTGATGTCCCTTTGGGAGCAGCTGGCCCCCCGGTTGGAGCCCAAACAAGCCCTGGAAAGCTGCTGCGCGACACGGGAGTCAAGCCAACTGCTGGATTTTTCTCTTGTCCTAGTCTGCAAGACCAGTGAGACAAGACCCGCCAAAGTCCTGGAGGCACCCGGAGAGGTCCCCTCGGGCAGGGGAGGAATCTGTCTTCTTCAGTCTTGCCCAGTTGGTCTCCAGAGCAGCTCCCGAGGGGGCAACCGGCCTGTTTCGGCTGATGCTTGGAGCTCCTTGGCCAGGCCACCAGGTACCCTCGACACCAGGCTCTGGCTCCTCGCGTGTTCTTCTCGCCTGTCCTGTGGCCCCTTCTGACAGCTCTCTGCCCAGCCGGTTGTCTGCTCGGAAATCTGCCCAGTTCTGTTTGTGCACCTGCACCTCTGGACTCGCGGACCCTGCTCAAACTCATCTCCCCCAGAGGTGTGAAGGCCCAGAAAAAAAGGAAGAAAAGAAAAAACAGGACAATTGGCCAAAACAGATTCCCCCCCCCTGAAAATCCCCCCCTTTCCAATGGAGAAGCTGAAAATTCTGGGGAGCAATTAAAAAAGAAAAAGATTCTTATGAAACATCTTCTCTTTTTGGATGAGCGAAATGCTTACGAAGACGAGGCTGAACGCACTCAGAACGCGCCGCCCGAAGAGTCGCACGGCAAGGCAGCCCACAGCATTAGCTAATGATAATTCCTGTGTACACCGCAGACATCGACAGCGTATTTTCAAAGATACCGCTAACATGACTAATTTGTGCATAATAATATGCTATAATGCATATGATGGCATTACACACCATTGAAGAGCTCATTGTTTTTCGCATTACACAGCTTAACACGATATGCAAATATCCTGCTAGCACTCTGACTTCTAAGAGACCTTTTTTCTGTCCAATTTTTTTAAAAGTTGCGCTTTCCGTTTTCAAACTCCCCCCCCCGCAGGTCCACAAACCAGGACGGTGTTTTCTTTGCTCCCTGCTCTCCCCCCCCCCATGGAGGGCCCCGAAGAGCCACAAGGTGCCCTTTGTTGGGGAGGCTGCAGCATAACTCAGCTTTATTTTCCCGAGACTGAACACCTGAACACAGGAAATGGCCTTCTACTGGAGCCGGCACTGGTCCATCAGGCTCAGGATTGCCCACTCAGACAGGCAGCGGCTCTCCAGGGTCTCAGGCAGAGGTCCTTTCTTAAACTGAACCTGGGGCCTTCTGCATGCCCAGCCGATGCTCTGCCACCGAGCCACAGGTTCTCCCAGACAGCATAAGGCACAGACACATGAAGCTGCCTTTGACTGAGTCAGACCTTTGGTCCATCGAGGTCAGTCTTGTCCACTCAGACTGGCAGCGGCTCTCCAGGGTCTCAGGCAAAGAGGTCTTTCCCATCACCTACTTACTACCTGGTTTAACTGGAGATGCCGGAGATTGAACCTGGGACCTTCTGCATGCCAAGCAGAGGCTCTTCCACTGAGCCACGGCCCCTCTTGACAGCTCTCCAGGGTCTCAGGCGGAGGTCTTTCCCATCACCTCCTGCCTGGTCCTTTCTAACTGGAGATGCTGCCAGGGATTGAACCTGGAACCTTCTGCATGCCAAGCAGAAGCTCCGCCGCTGAGGTCTTTCCCATCACCTACTTACAACCTGGTTTAACTGGAGATGGCAGGAATTGAACCCGGGACCTTCTCCATGCTAAGCAAAGGCTCTGCCACTGAGCCTGATTGTCGATGCTTTAAAACTGCTTCTTTGGCCTTTGAGCTTGGAAGACACGGTCAGCTTTTCTATGGAAAACAGAGACTGTAAAGACTTCCCCCCCCCCCCCACACACACACACGCCAACACTGGAATAATGCCCCCGCCCCCGTCAGAAGGCATCTGGGACCAAACTCTGTCCACACGACCACCTCCTCCCGGCTCTCTGCTTCTGGCCTCTCAGTGAAAACGGGGGGCCCACCTGAAGACCCCCCCCTCCGATCCCATACGCTGGAACCTGTTTTATTTTTATTGCACTTTGGTGCCTTCATTGCTTTAATCTTGTTGTAGTTTATTGCACTGGTGTGCCTATGTAAGCTGCCCTGAGCCCGCGTGCGGGGAGGGCGGGGTATAAATGAAATAAAATAAATAAATAAATAAGGGGGCATGTGTGCCTGGAGAGGGCGGTGGGGGTGGCACCACCCCCTTGCAGCAGAAAGAGTCCCGTGCTGCTCCCGCCCCCCCCCCAGGAGTGAGGCCTCAAGTGCTGCTCAGGCGCTGCCCTTTAAACGGCCGCTTCTTCTTGAGAGCCCTCCGGCCAGGTCATTAAGCGGTTGATCTCTCCACTCCAGCAAAATGAAAGCAGTCGCGGAAGACACTCCTGACCGACCATCGGTTTCAGCAGGCAGGCCCAGTTAATGGGACCCCCCCCTTCCATTTGTTTCCACGGAGAGCAGAGACAAACCCTCCAGAGCAGCGGTTTGGGGGTCGAACGACCCTTCCACAGGGGTCGCCTAAGGCCATCAGAAAACACACATTTTTGATGGTCTTATGATAGCAACGAAAATAATTTTATGGTCGGGGGTCACCACAACATGAGGAACTGTATTAAAGGGTCGCGGCAGTATGAAGGCTGAGAACCACTGCTCCAGAGAATCATAGAGTTGGCAGGGACCTCCAGGGTTCATCTAGTCCAACCCCCTGCACAAGGCAGGAAGTTTACAAATACCTCCCCCTCCCCCCCGGGACCCCTGCTCCATGCCCAGAAGAGGGCAAAAAACACCCTCTGGGATCCCAGGCCAAACTGCCCTGGAGAAAACTTACTTCCTGACCCCAAAGTGGCGATCGGCATTTCCCTGGGGTATGTAAGAAAGGGCCACGAGAACTAAGCGCTGAGGCAACCCTTCCTGCCCTCCCGTGATCTGCCCAAGTTCACAGAATCCACATTGCTGTCAGATGGCCACCTAACCTCAGTCTGAAAACGTCCCAAGAAGGAGAGCCCACCACCTCCCGAGGAAGCCTGTTCCACTGAGTGAGGAACCGTTCTGACTGTCAGGATGTTTAGCTAAAAACTCTTCTGATTTAATTTCAACCTGCTGGTTCTGGTCTGACATTCTGGGGCAACAGAAAACAACTCTGCACCATCCTCTGACAGCCCTTCAAGGACTTGAAGATGGTGATCATATCACCTCTCAGTCGTCTCCTCTCCAGGCTAAACAGACCCAGCTCCTTCAACCTCTCCTCCTAGGACTTGGTCTCCAGACCCCTCACCATCTTCGTTGCCCTCCTCTGGATACCTTCCAGCTTGTCTGTATCCTTCTTAAATCCTGGTGCCCAAAACTGAACACAATACTCTAAGTGAGGTCTAACCAGAGCAGAGTAAAAGGATACCATCACTTTGCGTGATCTGGACACCATACTTCTGTTGATACAGCCCCAAATTGCATTTGCCTTTTTAGCAGCCGCATCACACTGCTGACTCATGTTCCGTGTATGGCCTGCTAAGACCCCTAGTTCCTTTCTGCACCTTCTACTGCCAAGACGAGTCTCCCCCATCGTATAATTATGCATTTGATTTTTCCTACCTAAATGCATAGAACTTCACATTTATCTCCACTGAAATTCATTCTATCCAATGAAGGCCCCTCCCTCCCCGCTCCCAGATTTTTGGGGCTCAAGGAGATGCAGCCCCCCCCCACCGCCGCCACCCAAGGCACTGCCGCCACCAGTGTTCCCTCTAAGCTGAGTTAGTGTGAGCTAGCTCAGTTTTTTAGCCCCCAGCTCACACATTTTACTCTTAGCTCAGGAAGGATGGCTCCAGAGCAAACTGATTTATGCAGGAGCCAAATCGCCCACTCACAGCTTTAATGCCGGTAGTCCACAAAGTGCAATTTTTGCTCACAGGACTCCATAGCTTAGAGGGCCTTCTAAACCCTGGCCTCCTCCCACCAGGACAAGAAACGCCTCTGCTTCATCGGCACCCGCAACTCTGACATTCTTCCACACGGTGGCATCGCAACAGGCCACAGGGTAACGGCAAGAGGCAGGGCACTGACCACACCAGACCCACCCAGCTCCCTCTTCCTGACCTTCCTTCAACAGGGACCCTTGCCCAACCAACAAGCAGGAAGTAGAGACTCGCGGCTGTGCCACGCCAACGAAACTGGCCTTCCTCAGGACTGCACGCGCCCAGGAGCTGTGGGACACCGAGGCCACTCTGTGGGGGACTCTTTCCAGCACAGGCCAGTTCAGAGGCCCCCTCCCCACAAAAACTCTGCTTTGCTCTCGCTCGCTCCCCCCCCCCAAGGCCAGCCCCACCCCACCCCACCCCTCTAGCCGCCAAGGTGCCCGAAGCAGAAGTCTTTCTTCCCCACCCGTGAGGCCACCCTTTCCTGCCCAGTGACCCTGATACCCCCCCTCCCCAGACGTCCTGTGGGGGTGCTCCAGCCAGCGCACTGGGGGGGGGTGCTTCCACTGCCTGACCGCTTCTCCCGCCAGGCTGCCCACACACCCTCCCCCAGGCGACCCACCCCTCGCAACATGGCACAACGCAAACACCAGCACACCTCTGCACACCGTCGCCTGCCTCCTCCTTGCTTCTGTGGCCTTCTAAACCCTGGCCTCCTCCCACCAGGACAAGAAACGCCTCTGCTTCATCGGCACCCGCAACTCTGACATTCTTCCACACGGTGGCATCGCAACAGGCCACAGGGTAACGGCGAGAGGCAGGGCACTGACCTGTGAGAGGTGAAGTTGTCATAGGAGCCCACAGTGTAGTGTCGGAAGAGGCGCTTCGTCCGGTCTTCTCGGGTTTCTGTAAGGAAAGAGCAGAGGGGACTCAGAGGCCTGGGGGGAGAGGACGGGCCCACCACCCGTCTGTGCATAGGGTCCTACGAAGCCCCCCCCCGCCATCACTCTGGACATTATTAACGGGAACCCACCCAGAGAGGGCTGAGCACCCTTCCTGATTCCACAGCCGCTCAGAGGTGGTGAGATGGGGGGGGGGGTGGCTGAGTGGAATGCGGTAGAGGAGTCCTGCCGAAAGGGTTGTGACCAGTGTTCCCTCTAAGCTGAGTTTGTGTGAGCTAGCTCACAGTTTCTTAGCCTCCGGATCACAGTTTTATCGCCTCCGGAGCACAGATTTTTGTCTTGGCTCAGGAAGGATGGGGCTCCAGAGCAAACTGATTTATGCAGCAGCCGAATGGCTCGCTCACAACTTTAATGCCAGTAGCCCACAAAGTAGAATTTTTGCTCACGAGACTCCACAGCTTAGAGGGAGCACTGGTTGTGGCCACTGTTCCCTCTAAGTTGAGTTAGTGTAAGCTTCTGGCTCACGCATTTTTGCCTTCGCTCAGGAAGGATGGGGCTCCAGAGCAAACCGATTTATGCAGCAGCCGAATCGCTCGCTCACAACTTTAATGCCGGTAGATCACTAAGTAGAATTTTTGCTCACAAGGCTCCACAGCTCAGAGGGAACATTGGTTGTGACGGCTTCGCCAGGCACCCGAACCTCAACTGCTTTGCTGCTGCGGCTCAGCTGTTCGTGACTGTGCCGCTGGGAACGCCCCACATGCGGTTAGGGTTAGGTGCCATGAGGACATGGGAATGGGGCACGTGACAATGCAGTTCTGAGGTCAAAGGAGCTGGGTTGTATCCCACTCAGTGCACACCTCCTCGCCTGAACGTATTTGTGCAAAAAGGCCCCTTCAACAAGTCCCGGCATGTTACCCCACTGGGATCCCCCAGGCCTGGAGCACGGCTAGTGCTGGTTCCCTGGGGAGGGCGGTGCTGCTGGGCTGGAGCTTCCATGGGGAGTGGAGAGGGAGGCTCCCTCCGCCCCAGAAGGGAGCAGGAGCAGATCCCAGTCCCCAGGAAGCCTGCTCGGGCCTGCGGGCTTTGCACACGGGGGGGGGGGGCAGCCTGCCAGTGGGAAACGGAGACCAACCACAGGGGGGGGGCACGCAATGGGCTCTGGGAGTGGGGACCTTCTGCACTCTCCCAGGGCCTCCTGTTCCCGTTGTCCTGGAACTGAGAGAGAGCAAACCCCTCTCAATCCCCCTCTCCGGCAGGTGGGCTATGGAGGGGGATGCCAATCTTCATGGGCAAGGAGGGGGCAGGGAGGGAAAACAGAAGAGGCCGAACTGGCTCTGGTGGGGGGACGGGACGTGTTCCTTCCAAAGCGGCAGCGGTCTCCCGGAGGCTCCCGGTCTCACCAGTTTCTAAATCCCACCAGCTCTTGACATTTCAGTCCACATCCCCTGCAACGTAAGAAGCAGCCTCCCCTCCAAAACGAGCCACCATGCGGCTTCTGAAAGAAGGGCGATCCAGAAGGCACGGGGCTGACATCGGCCGGGCCAGAGCCTGCGAGCGCCGTGTCTCCTCGTCGCCAGCAGGTGGGGCGCTTTCCCCACTCTGGAGGGGAGGATGCCTTGGGAGGGTCCCGCCTGTTCTCCTCCGGGAAGCGCAGCTGTAACAAGCGGCGGGCGGCCGGGAGGGCGAGTGTGGCTGCCCTTCAGCTGGCTCAAGCCAGCCTCAGGAGCCCTTCTGCCGGGTTTGGGAGGCTCCAAGAGACACCGCGGGGCAGCGGCACCTCTCTCTGCAAGGAGCAGCATTTTGGAGGAAACTAGCTCTGCTCCTGCCTGTTTCCCTGCTGGTGCCCCCCAGAGCCGAAGAGGAGACATAGACCCACAGCCCTCTTCTCTGCACATGGATGGAAGGAGGATGCGGAAGGCTTTCTGGGCAGAAGGAACACCCTCCACCCGGCCTGTCGGCTATGCCCCTCAGAAGTATCTCAGGGAAAAGAGATCCTTTTGACACACACCCCCCTGCAGAAAATAAGCGGCGATACATGGATCCACAGCCGTGGAAGCCCACCAGTCCAAAAGACACCCACCTCTTCCACCATGCACGGTGAGACCCCCTTTGAAAAGGGACACAGACTAGCAGAACCATCACTGGGGGTGGGGAATCGCCCAGGCACACACACAACACAAACCCCCTCAGTGCTCCCCGACACCCACACAGATCCTGGCCATACAACACCCTGCCCCCCCCCCGAGTGCAATTCACAGGCAGATGTGGCAATCCAGCCCCCCCAAAAGGGCAGTCCAAAAGGGCTACAGGAGCGGGTGCATCGCAAAACCCGCTGGTGAGCAGTCTGGACTCCCAGGGGTGACAAGTGGGGACACGGGAGGAGGCAGGCGAGGAGGTTCCCAAACAAAGAGTGAGCGGAGCAGGCCGCACGGCATCCGACGCACTACGGCGGTGGCTGTTCTCGGAGTGCGATCCGGCCAACGTGCCCTCAGAAAGTGTCGTGCAGGGTGGGAGTGCCCCCAGGGAAGTGGCCACCTGGCAGATCCTGGTGACGGCCCATCCCAGGGAAGGGGTGCAGGACAGACAGGGGCGTGAAGAGTGGCGTGAAGAGAGTGGCGTGAAGAGAAAGCAAAAGGCCCCCGGGCACAAGCACGTGGCCTCTCCAGCCTCTGGCATGGCTGCTCTGGCCCTGGCCTCACCGCTGTGCCCGTGAAGCCAAGAAACCGGGTTACCTCGTCCCGAGAAGGACTTCCCAGCAGGGAGAGCAGTGGCGGCGGCAGCGGTGGCAGCCAAGGTCTCAGTGGGACTCCGCCTGCTGCCCCGCTTGGCTGGTCTTCGGCCATGCCTGGCCGCTGCGGCTCTGGGGGAAGCCGACTCTGGAGAGCCAAGGAATTAACAACACACTTACTGGCAAAAGAGAGCCAGTTTGGTGTGAGAGCCAGTTTGGTGCCGTGGTTAAGTGCGCGGACTCTCATCTGGGAGAACCGGGTTTGATTCCCCACTCCTTCTCCACTTGCACCTGGCTGGATGACCTTGGGCAGGCCATAGTTCTGATGAGAGCTGTCCTTGAAAAAGAGCAGTTTGTGCCAGAGCTCTCTCAGCCCCACCTGCCTCACAGGGTGTCTGTTGTGGGGAGGGGAAAGGAAAGGAGTCTGTAAGCCGCTCTGAGACTCCCTTGGGTAGTGAAGGGCGGGGTAGAAATCCAATCTCCTCTTCTTCTTCAAAAGGGGGCTTCGCGTCTGGGATGGGAGAGACTGCGGCTCAGGATTGTGTCACTCGGTCTTCCAAATCGAAGGCCTCTCCCAAACCAAAAGCTGCAGGAGTGGTGTGTGTGTGTGTGTGGGTAAACAATGGGAAGAAGAAGAAGAAGAAGAAGAAGAAGAAGAAGAAGAGGAGGAGGAGGAGGAGGAGATTGGATTTATACCCCATGGTCCTTCACTACCCAAAGGAGTATCAGAGCGGCTTACAGTCTCCTTTCCCCTTCCCCTCCCCACAACAGGCACCCTGTGAGGGAGGCGGGGCTCAGAGAGCTCTTTTGAAGACTGCTCTTGAGAGAACAGCTCTGAAAGAACTTATGATGGACCCAAGGTCACACCAGCAGCTGTATGTGGAGGAGTGGGGAATCAGACCTGTTTCCCCCAGATGAGAGTCTGTGCTCCTCACCACGACACGAAACTGGGAGAAGAGCCCATGAATCTATTCCAATGTAACTTAAATCAGTGAAGTCTAGGGCTACACAGGGGTCCGGAGAGGTTAAATTTTCACCGCAAAAGTTTATTTTATGCCACTTTCTCACTGGATCGAGGTCCACAAGGCGGCGAATGTGAAAACAGCAAAATATCTAAACGGTCTAAAATGCTGTTAAAATGATAGATTTTGAGGAGCATGACCATTTTTGTGAAAAGCCCTATTTTCTCACCTCCCCCTGCATCCAAGGAGCTCCGAGTGGCTGCCAGAGCCCTCCCCTCCATCGTGCCCTCACGACCTGCTGCCCTGCGAGGCGGGCTGGGTGGAGAATGTGCGGCTGGCTGGCCCACACTGCGGCGCCCGGGGCAAGATGTCAGGGGCGCTCCTTGTTACAAGCAGCGGCTAGAAAGGTTCTCTGATGGCTGCCACCATTCTGCTATGGATCTCCTTGGGAGGGCAAGTCCCCCCCCCAAAAAAAAATCCCGTTAGCCAATCCAGAGGGTGACCTGGGAATTGCAGGCCCTGATAGCCACTCCAATACAGGCTTCCCTGGGGCCACTAGGCCTCCCCAGAACCTGTAGGCCGCACCACTATATAGGCCCAGGATCATGAGACATCTGCATACCTTTGTGTGGCTGCGTGTGCCACCCCAGAACACGGCCCTCTGGCCAACACGAAGGGACAGGCCTGTCGAAAGGGAATACGGCAGCGCATATCTGGGGGCTAACCCAACCTCTTACCCACACAGTCCCAGTGTTCCCTCTAAGTGAGTTAGTGTGAGCTAGCTCACAGTTTTTTAGCCTCCGGCTCACACATTTTTTGTCTTTGCTCAGGAAGGATGGCTCCAGAGCACACTCATTGATGCAGTAGCCAAATCTCTTGCTCACAACTTTCATGCCAGTAGCTCACAAAGGAGAATTTTTGCTCACAAGACTGCACAGCCTAGAGGGAACATTGGACTACCTGCATTTTTTTGAAAAAGGCTCCCGCCACCCCAGATTCTTATACAACAAATAAAAAGAAAACAAAGGCAGAGTACCGAAGAACCAACAGTCACTTCAAAATGTTAGAAAAGGAACTTGGGAAGATCCTCCAATCTCCCTAGAATCCCAGAATCATAGAGTTGGAAGTGACCTTAAGGGTCATCTAGTCCAACCCCCTGCACAATGCAGGAAATTCACAAATACCTTCCCCCCCACACTCCCAGTGACCCCTGTTCCATGCCCAGAAGATGACAAAAAACCTCCAGGATGCCCTGGCCAAACCAGCATGGAAGGTGTAGATAGGTGTAGGTGTAGATATTAATTACTGAGT